CTTGAATCATTCTTTTTATACTAATTATCATAATTAAATATATTAATGAATCATTATAATTAAGTTCCTATAAATATTAATAATGTAAAAATACCAATTTAATTCTACTTAATGATCTCCTCTTAATTGTTTGAAAATTAATAGCATTCCTTAATTATTAACAAATTGTCTTTGATTTATTTATAATCTTATTAAAATAAATATTCAGATATCTTTAATAATTATATTTTCATTTTCTCCAATTCTTTTATGAATTCTTCATATTTTATTTTGACTGATTAATAAGATTTATTCAATTAAGTAGTTAATTCAAATAAATACTAATTGAATTTAGTGATAAAACTTTAAATCTAACCAAATACTTTTAGGTCTTTCTTGCAATTAGTATGTTTCTTAGGGTCAAATCCACATTAAAGACAGAATTAAGATTTTGCATCTTAACATCCAAAATTTAAACAAAACCCTTATATGACTTCACTTTCATGTGCTATATCTTAACATGTAAACAATTTCTATTATTTCATTAAAATAAAATTTAATATATATAATTCTGATTTATAATGGATTAATAAACTTAATTTAATATCTATTAAAAGAATCACTTAATTATATATTTAACATATTTAAATCTTTCCTTGTACTTTATTCATTCCTATTAAATGATGAGCAAAACATAAAATAAAACTAAGAATTTACATTTTTATGCAATTTAACTATAAATTTCAATTTTTAATCAATTATTTCAATACTAATCAAAATTTTCATACACACCTCTTATGTAAAATCAACTTGTAGTTTATAATTAAATTATTACTTCTAATATTCAATTTGTATAATCAATCTTATAACATATGTATTTTCCCCTTCGTTTTTGAACTGATGAGAAAATAAATATATTTAAATAAATAATCAACTGCTTTTTGAATTAAGGTTTATTTAATTAAGAACATAAAATAGCTTGATAAATGATTTTAGAATAGAAGTTAATAGAGTAGCTGTTCTAGGATCACTATAAAAATAAGAATTAAAAGTATTTAAATGATGGTGAGTTCTCAGATATTAGACTCAAAATGGGCATAATTTAACTAAAGAAAATTTAAGCCCTAATAATCACTTTTAGGCTCAAAGATTAAGAATGGATTTCAAAAAGATAACCATTTATCTTATTATTTTTTTTACTTTATAAAGTGCGATAATGAAGTTTTTTTAAACTTGGCTCTATTTAAGTTTGAAAAATAGAAAGTAGAATATCAGTTTTAACCTTAATTTACTTAATCTAAGGCTTCTTAGATTTAATGGAAAAAATTAAGAAGATGGTAACTTTAGGTCTATCTAAATCTTTATCTAATAAAATCATTGATAAAGTATGGGAATAATTTTGACTTTAAAACTCCTATTTCTAATCAGTTAAAATAGTTTTAATGCTTGATTCGAAAAGGTGATGCATATTAATTATTCTTGAATCAATAATATGAAGAATTTAAATCGATAAGAAGAAAAAGATTAAGGATTTAGTACTTTGCTGATAATGGTTACTTAGATAGATATAAATATAATTGGATGAAATGTAAATCTTGTGGTGATTGGTTCAAATGGAAATTTGAACATTTGTAAGTTCATAATAGAAGCTTATATGATTAATTTCTATAATTAGATTAATATATGGAAGAAAGAGTTGATAATTAGGATATAGATATTGGTGGAGATTATTAGCGTAATTTGTGCTTGTAATTTAAAATTCTATTCGTTCATTCATTCAACAATAAGTTAATGAATAAAAGAATTATACTCCTTAATTTTGAATAGAAAGATACCCGTGATTAATGAATTAAGAATAGAATTCTAATTAACAAGAAATTGAAATATGAATTTAATATTTACTTATTTTGATCTATTCTAAATTATAATAGAGTATTTAAAATTATTTGATTGGTAATAAATGTATGAAATTATTCTGTGTTATGCTTAAATATATTTTTGAGTTTTTATTTGATGAAATTATTAAACTTAGAGCATCCGCTAAATTATACTATTTAATTTTTCTGATCAATATAGAATATGAATTTTATGATAATCATATTTATTTAGAGTTTTGATAATATTTAATTATGAATCTAAAATCTCAAAATAATATTTATTATTTTTAACTTAAATCTTAATTTTGAATAACACCTAAATATTAAATACTTGAATATAAATATTATATTATTTAATTCTTCTCAATAAAACTGTTTTTATATTATTTCTTAATTAATATGATTAAAATATTAGTAATCATTTTAATCTCCTTAAAATAAGTAACTATATAATATAATTGAATGATAATTATAATCTTAGAATTTTACATCAGGGCTAATGATTTAAATTAATAATTCCAATAATCTTATGGAGTATGATTACAGAATGTAATTAATTTTTAAACTAATTGTTAAAATAAAATTTATTCAGGTAATTTAAAATTTTATATTACAAAAAATATCAATTCAATCTCTTTATTTTCTGATTGTACAATTTAATCAACTAGTAATAACAATTAATTTATTTGTTTATATGAATTTAAAACAGGAAAAAAATCATACTTAGTTTGCCATATTAATGATTTCAATTCTATTCACTTTACTGCTAATTTTTTATATTAAGAATTTAATCTAATTCAAAAATAATTAAGCAATTACTTAATTATCAATTATTTCCGTATTTTACTAAACATTAATAATATATAAATATTCTTTATATAGAAATGATTAATTATTTTCATTCATTACAAGCTTTGACTTCAATCCCTAAATTGAACACTTAGGCTAAAATTATGTGACTACTAACACAGTTTTGTTATTTTATCTGAGAATTGTGCACAGTTATTCAATTAAATTATTTAATAGTTTAAAAGATTATCTTCTTAGCTTCAATTCTTTAATTACTTGACCACAGAAAAAGAGAGACCTTAACTTAGACAAGTCGAATTAATTAATAATAAAATTTGTAATTAAATTAAGGAACGAGTTAATCAATATATAAAATAGACTAACTAATTTAAATTCTTTTAATTATTTTTGGTTTATCTTATTGTTAATATTTATTATTTAACTAATTCTAATAAAAAATGATGAGCTTTGTCTAAAATTCTTGAACCTAATTAATTAATATCATCTCAGAATGTTGTAAATAATATGGCATCGTTTAAACCAAAAAAAAAGCTTGTTGGATATAGCGCAAAAAAAAGAAATAGTTCAATTATAGATAGAATCCCTATGAAGAATTATTTTTATTACCAAAAATTTCCTTAAATTTCAAATTAAGTAAAAAAAAATCATAACTACTTTCTCCTATTTTACTGAAAAAAATCTATAATAAAAATTTTTATTAGAATTGAACTGTAATGTATATATATATGATATTAAACTAATTCATCAAATAACTTAAAATTGTGAATTAAATAATTATGTTCACAAATGTATTCAATATAGTATAATATTTATAAAATGATTGTTATTGTTCAAAAAATCTATTTCAATTTCATTCAGAACAATATTAAAATTAAACAATAGATTATGTTAAATTAATTAAATTTAAATAATGAATTCTAAAGCTTTCTGTATATTTTCTTAGTTTAATTTTCTTTTAATTTGCATTCCAATACTATAAATTCCTAATCATTATTTAATATACTAAAAATATTTCCTTCATTCTTCTAATCACAAACAATTTAGATTCCTATTCACAATCTAAAAAATTTATGGTATAAGGGGATTGTAAGAATTTTAAACTATTTAAATATTAACTTCTTTTATTATCAATAGGTTTTTCTATTTATTGTGTTGAGATGGATAGTAACACATACAAGGATNCCAATAATCTTATGGAGTATGATTACAGAATGTAATTAATTTTTAAACTAATTGTTAAAATAAAATTTATTCAGGTAATTTAAAATTTTATATTACAAAAAATATCAATTCAATCTCTTTATTTTCTGATTGTACAATTTAATCAACTAGTAATAACAATTAATTTATTTGTTTATATGAATTTAAAACAGGAAAAAAATCATACTTAGTTTGCCATATTAATGATTTCAATTCTATTCACTTTACTGCTAATTTTTTATATTAAGAATTTAATCTAATTCAAAAATAATTAAGCAATTACTTAATTATCAATTATTTCTGTATTTTACTAAACATTAATAATATATAAATATTCTTTATATAGAAATGATTAATTATTTTCATTCATTACAAGCTTTGACTTCAATCCCTAAATTGAACACTTAGGCTAAAATTATGTGACTACTAACACAGTTTTGTTATTTTATCTGAGAATTGTGCACAGTTATTCAATTAAATTATTTAATAGTTTAAAAGATTATCTTCTTAGCTTCAATTCTTTAATTACTTGACCACAGAAAAAGAGAGACCTTAACTTAGACAAGTCGAATTAATTAATAATAAAATTTGTAATTAAATTAAGGAACGAGTTAATCAATATATAAAATAGACTAACTAATTTAAATTCTTTTAATTATTTTTGGTTTATCTTATTGTTAATATTTATTATTTAACTAATTCTAATAAAAAATGATGAGCTTTGTCTAAAATTCTTGAACCTAATTAATTAATATCATCTCAGAATGTTGTAAATAATATGGCATCGTTTAAACCAAAAAAAAAGCTTGTTGGATATAGCGCAAAAAAAAGAAATAGTTCAATTATAGATAGAATCCCTATGAAGAATTATTTTTATTACCAAAAATTTCCTTAAATTTCAAATTAAGTAAAAAAAAATCATAACTACTTTCTCCTATTTTACTGAAAAAAATCTATAATAAAAATTTTTATTAGAATTGAACTGTAATGTATATATATATGATATTAAACTAATTCATCAAATAACTTAAAATTGTGAATTAAATAATTATGTTCACAAATGTATTCAATATAGTATAATATTTATAAAATGATTGTTATTGTTCAAAAAATCTATTTCAATTTCATTCAGAACAATATTAAAATTAAACAATAGATTATGTTAAATTAATTAAATTTAAATAATGAATTCTAAAGCTTTCTGTATATTTTCTTAGTTTAATTTTCTTTTAATTTGCATTCCAATACTATAAATTCCTAATCATTATTTAATATACTAAAAATATTTCCTTCATTCTTCTAATCACAAACAATTTAGATTCCTATTCACAATCTAAAAAATTTATGGTATAAGGGGATTGTAAGAATTTTAAACTATTTAAATATTAACTTCTTTTATTATCAATAGGTTTTTCTATTTATTGTGTTGAGATGGATAGTAACACATACAAGGATTGCTTACTCCCATTAATTGGAATATTTTAAGTATTTATGTCATACTAAAGTTTGAAATTCAAAACTCATTAGAGGAGAAGACTAGAAATAAAAAGGTGTAATTATTTGTAATTTCAATCTATTTTTTGTTTTTCGATTCTAACCACAAGAAATCAATTGATTGCCATCTTCATCAAATTAGCACACATAAATTGTATATGTATGCTCATTTAAATTTGGCAACAAGACAATTCTGAGTTAGCATGTGCCAAAGAAGACAAGAATTTTAATTTGTTATCTCCTGATTCACTAATGAGCAGATTCCATCAATGTGATGCAATGCAACTTAACTTATGAGTCTAAAATGTCATTTCAACTTCATCATATACTTTGGATTTGGCATAAGAATTGAGAGCCAAATAATGTTTGATGCATTGAAGAACCATAAATAATAACTGGTCTCTATTTAAGTAAATTAAGGGTTGTAATCCATTCTGACTTTTTTGATATCTATTATATTAGAGTTGTTTTATCTTTCAAGTTTCGAATTAAAATAGTTTAATATTCTTAGATGCTAAACAAGGCAAGAGTATATTAATATCATTAGTTACTACGGCATGGCATAATTGCTTTTAATGAATAACATTTTCTAAAATAATTTCTTATTGATATGGCTTATTTTTTATTTAAATAGATCACAGTACTCTCTCTTATTGTTGAATACTTAAAATTATTTATAATGGTAAACATTAAAAAAGCATAATTTAAAAAAATTGATAGAAAAATCGAGAATTTTTTATTTAATTAAAATAAATAGAGAATTTTCCTCTTAATTATTTCATTCCAGTTGGAATTATATTTAATTAAAACCTTTTTAGAATTTGTAGTAATCAAAAGTAAATTTTTAATAGAAGTTCAGATTTTGCATAGTTAATTCAGTTATTAATTTGATTAAATATATTTCTAGAAATTATACTGGAGTATTTAATTATTGATTATTGTAAATTGAACTCTTTCATCATTAAAAAAAAAAATTAAAGCGTTCATTTGTTATTAAAATAATATTTATAGATTTTAGAAAATATCATTTTTAATATATGAATAAATGAATTTCCATTCTAGCTCAAAAAATCTAACGATAATTATTACCTTCTATTGGGAAAAGATTCAGTATCTATTTTTATAAATTTCTCCTGATTTTCTTCTTTTCAAATTTAGATTCCAAAACAATGCTCATTTATTCATCATTTATACATAAAATTTTCCATTAAATTCAATTAAAAAACACAAATATTAATTAGTCTTTCTCAAAAAGTTTGAATTGTTTCTTATTGCATTTCTCCTAAATTTAGTTAGAAACATCTTATTCAAACAGAAGGTTTAATCACTTATACATTTATCTAATATTGCCTTAAAGTAATAGCTCATGTAAAATAGTAAAAAAGCTACCAATATCCGGTTAAAAAATTCATCACTGGTCTATTCAAATAAAATATTTTTCTGTAAATAAACACTTTCTAATTCATTTTCTCATAAGAATGAACCTAGTTTGATATAATATTTAATTATTTTCTTTTATACATGTATTTAGTAAAAATATATTTGAGTATTTTTCATAATATAAGAAAACAGATTAATAGTAAATCTATAACATTAAATATTTAGAAAAAAATTAACAAATAAGATTCAATTATATCATCACTTAATTTAATATTTTTTATAATTTTGTTTACAGAGGAATATATTTGTCAGGAATAGAAAATAATTTTTATAAAATTTATTTATCTATATGTTTGAATATTTTAGTAATCCTCTTCATTTTCTTCGAATATGAAATAATTAACAACAGGTTATTTTAGATTGCATTTTCTAAATTTCACATGCTTTTGAATTACTACAAAGTATCTGGAATCAAAAAATCATGATTATCAAAACATATTTGTAGAGAAATAATACTATTTTCTTAATTAAAACAGAAAATCCAAATATATAATTGATCATTACGAAATCTTTTATGATAATAAATTAATTTAAAAATAACTTATTTTATTATATTTGATATTAATGATAAGCACCATTTTTATTTAAAACATATATTTATTATAACATTCATTATTAATTTAGAGTTACTCTTAAGATATTACAAATGTTCCCTAAGTTTTTTATGACAATTGTAATGAATAACAAATTAATAAATATTTATTGTTCGCTAATTAAACAAAGTTCTTTTAAATTAATAAGAATTAAGTTGTTCGATTCATTATAAACGAATAATCTTATCCATTACTAATAAAAGTTCTTTTTTAATGTGAAATATCAATTATTTAACTAATTAAATTATCATTCAGAATTTCTTGATTATTTGAGGGTTTCTTTTTGAAAAAATCTATTTTTTATTGTATATGGTCATAATCTTTTATCCATATGAAATGTATGAAGAAATTAATCTTTCACTATTATCACATCTACTCTATTGAATCCCTTTTAATATTTAACTGCAAATTTTTCGAATATTGAAAGGAACTGGCCTATAGATAAAAATTATTAACTGCAAACATATCTAAAGTTAGCATAATTAAGGCTATTACTGATGTCGTTTTAAAAAGTCTTAAGATTTTTAATATTTTTGCAAAATAATAAAAATAGGTAACCAGGAAAAATAATGAAATTATGAGAAAAAGTTTATTAATTTTGATTAGATGAAATTTGTAAATCACATTAATAGAAGTATTTCATTAAAATAAGCTATTATTTATATGATAACCATTGATTCCAGAATTATGATTAGTTGGTATTTTATTTTTATATAATTAATGAACATATAATGGTAAACTAACACACTTATGCGTTCTTAATTGCTACTTCATTTTGAAGTAATCTGATTTATATACTTATACAATCTAGTCAAAATCAAACTTTGTCTCAATGTTACTTGTAGTTTGAAATGATATAAATAGGATTAGACATAATCTTTTCAAATTGAATAAAAATAATTTTAAAATTATTAACTAAATAATTTTAATCATTAAACCCTCTCAAGAATATATTTAATAAATTGAAATAATCTAATCTGTATTATGATCAAATTATATAAGATGATCAATTATGAGTATAATTCTAATTCAGTTGATGATTAATCAAACTTTTGTAAATTTTACTTTAAGTACAATAACTGAATTTTTTTATAAAAATATTAGAACCTACCTTTTTAATATTGTTATAAGTACTAAAAAAGAGTAATCATAAGCCTATAGATAATCTATTTACATGATATTATATGAAAAATTGAATTTTATTATACATATTTCTATTTATCGTTCCTCTAATGAAAATAATCAATATCGAAACAACTTATGTAACTAAGAAAATGTCTATTTAATTTAATTTATATA